TTTTCTTTAACTTGAGGGCCTCTGCTCTAGAGCAGAACCACCTGGGGAAACTGTTTAAACTCCCTGCACCGCCTTCCAGCACCGTCAATGGACCCCAGATCAATTAAATCAGAATCCCAGAGGGTGGATTGGGCATCAGCTGGTTTTTTTTTTTTTTTCAGTATATTTTTCACTGCTTCCCCCACCCTCTGCCCTTTGGCAACCATCACCGTGTTCTCAGTGTCTGTTCCTGTTTTGTTTGTTCATTTGTTTTAGGGTGCTGCTGTTTAAATGGACAGGGTGTCAGGGTCCCTGGGAGGGGGGTAAGAGAAGTGAAATGATAATGCTATTGGGAAGGAGTAGAAACATGAGTCGACCTAATACTGATAATTCCTCTTCTCTCATTCTCTCTGGCTCATTGCACTTATTTAACTCTCATTACCGTAAATTTGTGGGGCGGGGGGAGGGATCGCGGGTGGCTGTTCCTACCGCCAAGGCCCATGAATGGTCGCGTCGCAACCCTTGGATGACCCTCACTAATATTTACTGGTTGCAACGGAATAAGCGTCACTTACCCGCCGCTCGCTGAGTGCTCTGCGCTGTGCCAAGGCGTTTTTACATTGTCTCGCATGCACAAGCCCTATTAATCCAACTCTGTGAAGTAGATATGACTATCACTTTCGGGTTTCAGTGACTTGAAAGGGTCCGTCGGTCTGCAGGAGGGGCGCAGGGCGACGATCGGGTTTGGGCAGCTCCAGACGCTGAGTGAGACAGCCGGGTGCGGGACCCTCGGCGCTGTCGTAGGAACGTGAGTACAGGCACACTGCCCACCGGGCCGAGGTGCCAGAAGGTTAATTGTAAGACCTGGGTGAAGCCCTGGAGCACTCATCAACTGGTCCGGTACCTCCCAGGGGCAAATGCGGACAACTGTTACTAGCAGAACCTCACGCAGACCCAAACTCTATGTGCCAGCAGCTTCGCGGGGCTCATCGGACACTGCGCTTGCGCTGTCTCCACGCCGCAGGTCTTCCCGGCGTTCGTATGAACATCCGGGTTACAGACTCTTAGGCCCAATGAGCGAAAGCACTGTGGGCCGGGGGCGGGGCTAAGGCGGGGCATCATGGCCGCCCCCAGCGCTCCGCGTCCGGGGGCTTG